CCAGCAGCAGCCGGCCCCATTGCTCCGGGCCCACTGGCAGCTCGCTGGGCAACACCGGCTCCACCAGCAGCTCCAGCTGGCACGACTGCCCGGTTGCAGGCCGTGGCACCGCCAGCCCCACCGCACGGTACTGGCAGCCATGTGCCAGCCCCAGGAGCTGCGGCTGCGGTGGCTGCGCCCGGTGGCACCGTGTGCCCTGGCTGAGCACGCGGAAGCAGGCAGCCCGCCTGGGGGGAAAGGCCCAGCGCAACGTGAGGCTGAGGGAGAGCTGCTCAACGTTGGGGCCATCCTGCCACCAGAGCTGCGAGGCTGTCAGGCTCTGCACCTGCGGTGGAGAGGCTGCCATGCTGCCCGCATCCAGCACCTGCGGAGGAGAATGTAGCGCCATCAGCACAAGGCATGGCTGTGGCCGGGTTTGCATCCCACCATGCAGTGAGGATGTGCACAGCACCCACCCATAGCTCCCCCAGGAGACAGCTGAAGCTCGTCTCCTGTGGGCTGGCCTGTTTTCTGGACACCAGAAGGGAGAGGTCGCGCAGGCTGCAGCCCTGCAGCTCCTGCTCGTAGCACCTGGGGCAGAGGAACAGAGCTGGAGCAGGGCCGGGGATCCCTGCATGCCCAGGATGCAGGGTGCTGGCAGGGCACTCACCGGCTGGTCCAGCCCTGGGCACCGTGACTGCAGGCAGCAAGTAGCCTGGAGAGGGCAGGTGGTGGGGCTGGGAGAAGACGGGGGTGGTGGAGGCTGTGGGGCTCTGTGGGAAGGCAAAATGAGCTGAGTCAGTGCTGTGCCCTGCAGTGAGTGTGGGCAGCACAGGAGGCGTAGGGTCCTCACCGTCCTCACTCGGCAGCACAGTGACAGTGCTGTCATGGCATCTGCTCGAGTGCCAGGTGGTGAGCTCCAGGGCAACCGTGAAGTCATCCCCGTGTGGCCCCTCCATCTTGTAGAGCAGGTTCAGGAAGAGCTTGGGAGGTGCATGCATCTGGAAAGAGAAAAGGCTGATGACCCCAAATCCACCCAGAGAGAGACAGAGAGAGAGAAGAGAGAAAGAGAAGGTACATTGGGTTAGGCCTATCGGGCAGCACTCGCCACAGCGCTTTGTGGCACTCGGCACAGGGCTGGCACAGCTCTGCCAGGGCCTCCTGCAGCCATGCCCTGCCAGCACAGTGCCAGCCATGGAGGTGGGAAGTTGGCACCCAACTCACCGGATGGCCACGCGCTCCTCGCCGGGAGGGATGGTGCCCTGCACCCGCAGGGAGCTGCCCCCACACCAGGCATCCTGCAGGCAGCAGCTGGTACTCAGTTGGCCCCGGCGCTCTGGATAAAGGGGTTGGATCTCCTGGGCGCTCAGGTTGTACCATGGCCCGGCCTCTTCCTCCTACAGGACAGGAAACACTGGGCAGCAGGGAGCCGGGAGCAGGACCCAGTGTCCACACCCAGCCCTGGGGGCTGCAGCCAGGCTGCTCCCTGCACCCACCTTCCCAGCGAGGAACATGCCAGTGCCCATTCCCACACTGAAGGAGGTGGCGAGGGGCAGCGTGCAAATGCTGTGCGTGGGCAGGTAGTCTTCCAGCAAGCCCCAGAACCTGGGGGAAAGGGTGGGCATCAGAGCAGAGACCTTTGTTGAAGCCAAACCAACCAAAGCATGCAGGCATCCTGCACTTACTTGTTCTCGTTCTGCAGGAAGTTCTCCTCTCCCAGGTGTTCGTAGACCCAGCCAGGAGCAAAGATGGCTGCAGACAGGCCGTGCTTGCGGATCAGGCTGAGTGACTGCAGAGACAAGTGGAGAGCAGCACAGAGCTCAGGGGGGGCCGGGTGGTCACCCTGTCCCCTGCCATATCCACTCTCCACGAGGTCCTGCTGGTCCCACTGGGTGCCAGGACCACGGTGAAGGGTTGGTACTGCAGCATCACCCTTCCCAGGGCCTGCAGCACTAGGATCTCCCAGCCCCAGCCCTGTGCATACTGGATCCCAGGCTTCTTCAGCTCTCACCAATGCACCCTGAGTTACCCCAGCACAGTGTGGATGAACCATTGGAGAGAGCTGAGAGCCACGCACCAGGGGCAGACACACAATCCTGCTTCAACCACACACACCTTGTTGGTGTCAAAGCCACCGCCAACCACGTCCCCACGAGCAAAGACATCGACACCAATGTAGACGTCAGCGTGGCGCTGCCCAGCCAGCTCACGTGTGCGCTCCAGGTGCTCCTCCTTCCAGTTGTAGTTGACAAACAGCCCATCACAGGCATCAAAGAACAACCTGGGGATGAGGGTCAGTGCAGGAGCACCTCAAGAGGCAGTGCCAGCCGTGCCTTGAGCTCCATAGTCGTCGAGCGCCAAGGTGTGGGATGGACTTGTGCGTCACCACGGCTGGTTTTGCTCACGCAGGCACATGCCCCACCTCTCACCTATTCTGCTCATTCAGCTCATTCTGCCATCTCAGCGTGCCACTCTCCACAATGCTGTCATACCAAATCACCAGCCCCCCCGGCACCGCGCCGTGCACCTGCGCAGTCAGATGCCGCAGGAAGGGGGACAAGTTCCCCACCGCCACCGCCTGCCAAGAGAGAGCAGAGAGCAGTTGGACACAGGATGGCCCCATCCACGGGGACCCACGGAGGTTGAGCCCCGTGGGGCAGGATGCAGGCAGGACATGGGCTGCTCACGCTCAGTGCATTCTCCATGTTGATCAGCCAGCCATCAAAGCGGTAGTGTTGGGCGATGCGGGCCAGCTGGCGGCTCACGGCACGGTACGCCTCCTCCCCACCCGCCAGGAATGCCTCGCACAGCTTCTCGCCGTCCGTCCACTCCGTGATGAAAGTGCCTGGGGAGGAATGGGAGCAGCGTTGCTGTGTGTCCCTGCAGGCTCCCAGCACCCCACCACCCCGGTTCTGCCCTCACCCAGCACCGGGACGCCGTTCCTGTGTGCCGCGTTGGTCCAGCACACAGGTGGGATGGTGACAGTGTGGTGGCTGAAGTAGACGAAGATGTCGATGTAGCGCCAGTGGTAGAAGACGTACGGGTTGCGTGTGGCTGAGCCCTGGATGAACCTGTGGCAGAGCAGAGGGAAGCATTGAGCAATGTTGGAGAGACGCCATGGAGCCAGGCAGGACCTGAGTCAGCCCATGAGTTGGGCACTGTGTCACTTCTGTCACTCCAGCGGGGCTGGCCCTATCCACAGAGCTCCAGAGCCAGAGATAAACCCCTCTGGCCCCACCTGGAGAGGCCAACAGCAGGAAACAGACCAGACACTGAACTGAAGGCTGGAGAAAGGGCAGCAGCGTGCCGGGAGTGCATGCACCCATTCCCAAGGTATCACACACCTGTCTCCAGGTGTCACACACCTGTCCTCCAGGTATCCACCACGCATGTCGTGGCACAGCAGCGTGCGGGGTCTCCGGCTGTGCAGTGGGGGTTGACGCTGGGCCAGAGGCACCACACAGATGTTGAAGTCATCATCGCTGTTGGGCTGCCAGGCCAGCAGCTCCTCGAGGCCGGACAGGAAGGAGCTGATGGGCTCCGTGGTGCCGGTGTCGAAGTACCGAGCTGGGAAGGCAATGAGCCGGGACCGGGGTCAATGGGGTCGGGGTGCAAGGGGGGGCTCAGGGCGGCCCGTCCCGGCCCCTCACCTGGCAGCGGCTGCGGGCGGGTGCTGACGGCTGCGTGCAGTACGGTGGTTCCCAGAGGCTCCGCCGCCGGCTGGAAGCTGCCCGGGGAGAGGAATGAGGCCGGTGGCCGCCCGGCACCCCGCGCCCCGCTCCGTGTCCACCGCCGCGCCGAGCCGGGCAGCACCGCGGCCAGCGCCCGCCGCACCGGGCCTCGCTCCGAGCGCTCCGCGCCCCGGTCCCGGCTCCCGTCCCCGGCCCAACCTCCGCCGCCGCCGCCCGCCCCGCTCCTCCTCTTCCTCTTCCTCCTCCTCCTCTGCCGCCGTTCTCTTCCCGCGCCGCGCAGCCCCGTCCAGCGCCGCCGCCGCCTCCGCCATCGCGCTGCCGCCGCTCCGCCCGCACTGCCGGCAACGTGCGCCGGGCCCGGCCTGCCTGCGGGGGGCGCGGCCCTACGAGCTCCGCCCGGCCTCGGCCCGCCCTCACCGCCCGCCCCGCCGCGTCCTGAGGGCGGGCGCAGCGCCGAGCTGGGCTGAGAGCCGCTCGGGTTCCGCTGGCCCCGCCTGCAGCCCCGCCGTGCCCCGCAGAAGCTCGGCCCTGAGCGCTGCTCTCTGCCTGGCCGTGCCCGGCTCTCGCGGTGCCCCTGAGCACAAAGCGACGAGATGAGATGGAAGTGTGAGTAGGAACCGAATCCGTGGGGTGTTTAATGCGATCACAAGTGTACGGAGCGGGAGGCAGCCCCCGGCCCTGCTCTGCCAGTGCGTCTACAAAAACAAAAAGCCTGCCCAGCAGATCTCCAGATGAGAAGGATGGGGCTGAGGCTGAAGGCCCTGCATGTCAGGCAGCTGGGAGCCAGCTCTTCCCGATGGGTGCTGGCATCGAGATGTGGCTGTGGCACGGGGCACAGCGAGGGAACTGATATGAGAGGGCTGCTGCACCCATCTGCTGCTTGCTCTGCCCTGGGGAAGCACCAGCCCAGGGGACACAGCTCTGCAGAAGTGATGTTCAGTGGCTTTATAACTGCTCCCCCCCGTTCATCAAGTGCGTTGGTGGGGGTTGGGCAGCGGAGGTGCTCACATCACTCCAGCAGGTGCCAGCTCATAGCCAATGCCACAGACACCCAGCACACCCAGCCCTGAGCCTGGCACAGGTGGGGACGAGGTCCCTGCCTGCTCCAGGTGAGCAGCCAGCCCTTGGGTCAGGGATACGGCAGAGGTTACAAATGTCTCCATCTCCTCCAAGTGCACTCAATCAACTTCCAGGAGCTGAGGGGTGTGAGGGGGGGGGGAAGTATTCACACAGCTGGGGGTAGTGGTATGTAGCAAGAGAGCTGGAAGGAGAGTGGCGTGCCCAGGAAGGGGAGCAGCAGGGCCTCTGCAGGCCCCCACCCCAGGGAGCGGGGTGTAGGACTCATGGGTCCCCGCTGTACTTGATGAGGTGCCCACTGAAAGTGATGTAAGTGTCATACTCATCACTGAAGACAGCGTTCTCACGCTCGCCCTTGTAGAGCCTCACCCAGACCTCATCCTGCTCACGCAGCTCCAGCATAACGCTCTGGCTCTGCATGATGCTGCGGTCGCTCACCTGCGCATAAAGGATCACCACCTCGGCTCCGTTGCGCATGATGTGCAGGTAGGTCTCCTTCTGGTTCCAGGTGTGCACGTTCAGGCTGAAATAGTAGATCCCGGGGACGTAGCAGTAGAACTTCCCCGTGAACATGTTGAAGTGGTCGTAGAGGTTGACGAACTCCGTGTCGAAGATGAGGGTTTGGTAGTAGTCGTTGCTGTGCAGGGGTTTCTTGCGGCCCACTGAGAAGGCAGCGTAGTGGCTCTTGCAGCGCTCCCCTGGGGCGCCTGCGCTGCCCTTCTGTCCTTTGGGCCCCGTGTGGCCCCTGCTGCCGGCCACTCCTGTCTTGCCGAACTTCCCCTGCATGCCCCGCTCACCGCGTTCTCCCTTCTCACCTGGCAGAGCACAGGGGGATGGTTGGACACCAGTTCCATCTCCCCCCCAGTACTGGGAGTGGGACGAGTGCCGGGCTGCAGGTCTGGCTGTGGGCAGTGCCCCGTGGCCCTCACCTTTCAAGATGGTCATGTTGATCTGGGGCTGGTACCGGGGGTAGAAGCGGTGTTCGGGCGGCTCGCAGCAGCGGACGCAGTGGGGCCGTGGGGGCAGCACCTCCTGGGCACCGCTGTCCTTCTGCTCCTGCGTGGCCCTGGGGAGGGCAGAAAGCAAAGCGCAACAGGAGCTGCGCGTGGGGGCCAGGCCCTTCCTGGCACCAGGGGCTGCCCCATCCCCAGTGGGAGCACCTCTGTCCCCAGGGCCCTCTCACCTGACTGCCTGGTGCTTGAATGGGACCTCCTCAGGCTCCGCTGGATGCTGGTCAGGGTTGGGGCTGGTCTGGCTGCTCACAGGGTTGGGAAGCAGCAGGCAGGAGAGCAGCAAGACTCCGAGCGTCCAAAACCCCTCCATGCTGCAGCAGCACTCTGTAAGACACCAGAGTGACTGAGGGGGATGGCAAAGAACAGCAGTGTCCAGAGTGGGCAGGGGGCAGGTGGGGATCAGGGCGCTACAGCAGGGTTGGGCTGGTGGGAAGGGACAGCGTGGGAGCACGAGAGCAGCAGGGCACAGCCCGGCTATGGGGCTCCCTGCCAGGACCAGCAGCTGTGGGGTCCAGGCAGGGTTCTGAGCTTCTCACCTCCTCGCCAAGGGACAGGGCTCGTGGGTCCACCCCCAGTGCTGTGTTCTGCCCTCAAGAGTTGTTTGTTCTGCACTGCTGTGTCAGCCTGTCTGTGCCCTGCATTGTGCCCAGCACAGGCTCTGGTGTACCATGTACCAGCACAGCCATACTTCCAGCCCTGAAAATGGCTCTTTTTGCAGCATCACTTCTCCAGCAGAGCCCACAACAAGGGCAAGTGCATCTCTTGCAGATGCAGAGACTATCTGTAACTAAATGGCTGCTTTTATCCACCTAAGCCCCCATACCTCAATGATGCTCCAGAAAGTACCTATTCCTGGGGGATCCCAGACTTGTACATAGGGGTCTGCATCCCTCACTGAATGCAAGCATCCTGTGACAGCAGCTGCCATGCCCCAGGAGCTGCCAGCTGCCAGTCCTTATGCCTTGGTTCTTTGTGGGGTTTGCAAGGGAACCCAAACTGCTTCTCCTGAGCCTCAAGTGCTGCTGGTGTCCCTGGCCAGAACCTAGCCACTGGCAGCTGGGAGTCCACATCCTGATGGGGCCAAAGCTAACATTAGCGATAGCGAGTGGCACTGCAGCCCAGCCCTTCCTCGCCTTATCACTGCCATATCAGCTCTGAGGCATGGTGCAATTACCCTGCACTGCGCCCTATGGCCCCAAAGGTGCCAGGAGAGCATGTGGCACCTCTCTGCTGCTGGACACCACGGCAGCACTGGTGAGGTGGGCTCCTGCCAGGGCACAGCTCTGTATGCCCAGGTCTGCAAAGGGCTCCTTGTGCCACAGTCCATGTCCTGGGCGTGAGCTGGGCAGTGGGGTCCTGATGGCAAGAGGCAATGGGGGCCCCGCTGGACTTTGAGGCAGAATCCAACAGTTTGGTGAATGCTGCTTTCAGTGCCTGGGTCCTCAGTTAGCGACGGTCAGGGTGGAACTGCCTTGGGGTGGGCTGTCTGTGGGCTGTGTGGACCAGGACAGGCGTGCTCCAGAAGCAGGAGCAGAGGGCGTTCGAGGCCAGGATTCCTGGCTCATGAGTCATGTTCAAGGAACAGGGAAAGGGTGGAGGAATGGGGAAAAGCTCCAAAGGGCTTTCCCTCTGCGCCAGCCCTCTGCAAAGGGCCCAGCCCTTCACACACTTCCCCCACACCCACCCTGTCCCAAGGAAGTCTTGGAGCGGGGTTGTCCTCAGCTTGCTGCCCACTGCTGGAAGCAGAGCTGGTGGCACCACGGGCTGTGTGGCATCGTGGGCAGCCTGGCACCGCTGCCTAATCGCCATGCCCTGGCCTGCCACCTGCCCATGCTCAACTCAGGGAGAAGCAGCACAAGCAGGCCAGCCCAGGGCTCGTGAGCAGATACCATCCTGGGAGCTCAGCCCTGGCTCTGTTCTCCCTGCTTGGCTCCAGCTGTGCCAGCCTTATGCTGGTGAGTGCAGCTCACAACCTGCTGTGCTGCTGGGAATCCGTGGCTTTTTCCCTGCTCTGGGCTCACAGTGTGCAGAGCTCCTATTGAGCCAGACGGCTCCCTGGGACCCAGAGTGGGCTCAGCCCCAGGGAAAGCATAGCTTCACAGGAGACCGCTCAGCAGGGAGAAGAAATCCTTAGCCAGGATGAGAAAGGCAGCTCGTTTCCAGGCTGTCTCAGGGCTGGAAATGGAGGCGAGCGTGCCATGCACACGCAGTGCTGCCAGCAGCATGGTGTGCCCGTGGGCAGCATGCAGAGCTCCCAGCCCTGAGCACGTCTGCCTCTGCACCCCGCAGGCACGCCGGGCAGGCAGCACGCGTCTCTGCATGGGCATACATAGTCTTGCTGAAGGGACTCTGTTTTTTCCTGTCAGGGTTGGATGCTCTCCAGGAGCGGTTTGGAGATTTAAATTCAGTGGCTGCTAAAGCCTTGGGACTGCAAGTCAAAACATCCTGAAAACATTCCAGGCAGCATTAAAGGCGAGGATGAAAGAAGAGCAAATGCCGGGGGGAGGAGCGAGGGGGCTTAGCGCACAGGGGGGTCTAGAGGCAGCAGGACCAGCATGCCCACCTCGCCCTCCTGCTCACCAGCCATGGATACAATCCTTTTTGAGCTGCAGCTGGAGATAAGCCCCCCAGCCTTTTGCCACAGCAGCTGGGACATCTGTGGAGCTGTCTGCAGATCAGGAGCAGCCCAGACACAGCAGGCAGCAGGGTGGGAGCAGTACGGAGCAGCCAAAGGCTGACAGAGAGGTCGCAACCCTCCAGCTCCCACAGCGCCCAGCAGCACCGTGAGAAGTTGTGCTCCCACCTGCAGCCACCAGTCCCTGCAGAGCTGCACCGGGTTGGCCCGGCGCTGGATTTGACGTGGTCACGGGGTGTTTTGGTCACAGGGCTCAGAGCTGGAGCTTCAGCGCCAATTCGCTCCCAGTGCCTGCCCCCCCCCCGGTGCTGCTGCAGGTTGAGCTGTGTCCCTCCAACAACAGGCGAGGCTTCAGCCCCGCAGTCCCCACCGCCCTCCTGCAGGCAGGACAGAGTGCAAGCCTGACTATCCAGAGCGAGGGTGGGACTGGGCCCCCAGGCCCAGCAGCGATGCCGCAGAGCCCTACGGCACGCACAGATGCGCACACAACAGCGCTCATCCTTGTGTCTGCAGGTGACTGACCCCCAGCCCTGCCCCACACCTACCTCTGGGGCAGGGCCGCTCTCTCCCCGTGCCGCCTGTGCTGCTCCGGGGCATTGCTTGGTGCCGCGCTGCCAGACCCCTCGGCGTGGGGCAGAGCCTGCCCCTGTGACAGCCTCGTCTCCTCCTATGGCCGGGCGGAAATGCACTTCTGGAAAGCAAAGGAGGAGAGCGAAGCAGCGGGACGAGCACGGCGCAGCCCTCCCACTGCCAGATGTGGGCCCAGCGCAGGCAGACGGCGTTAACCATGTGTGCTCCCTGCGCCTGCCAGCACCAGGGAACGTGGGTGTCTGTGCCAAAAAGCAGCTCCAGATGCGAGAGGCAGCGTGGAGGGCAGTGCCTGGGGGCTGCGGCTGTCCCACGGCATGGAGCCACGGCCCTGCCCTATGCACAGCACCCCGTGGAGCCCTGAGCAGGGATGCGCCCTGAGCACGGTGTTGGGCGATTTGTCACCACGTCTGTGTTGGACAGCGGGGTTTGTCCCCGCACAGCACAGCTCGGCCTGGGGAACGGGGTCCGTGGGGCGGCCAGTCCAAAAGGGACCGCGGTCGGTGGGATTGCGGCGGCTGCCCGGGGATACGGGGCCAATGCCGGGCAGCCCCGGGCTGTGCCCACGCCACGTTCCGAGCACCGCTCCCCCTCTCTCATCCGCTGCCACGGCCTCAATGGGGCTGGGCCGCGTGTCCCACTCAGCCCCTCTCGCCCCACCCGCGCTGACTCGCAGCGCAGCCGCCCCGCGGCTCCTATCGCGCTCCGCTCCCGGCCGGCCGCACGGCACGCTTCACCCCCGCGACGCCGCGCAATGAGAGCGGCCGCGGAGCGCGGGCGCTGCTAGGAGCTGTAGTTCTCGCCGCTGCTCTGCGCGCCCCGCGCTGTTTTGGCCGCTGTCGGTTGCCGTAGCGGAGCGCGTGGACTGCCGGGAGCTGTAGGCGGCTGCTGTCGGCGGCGGGGGAGGCGGCGGCTGCGCTCGGGCGGCGGCGCGGTGAGCGAGGGGCCGAGGGGCGGCGCGGCCGGGGGCGAGGCGGCTGCGGTGTGTGGTGTGACGGCTGCCCGGGAGCGGTGCGTGGCGGCGGGGTACCGAACGCTGCTGTTCGGGGCGGCGGCTCCGGGATCGGCGACCGGGAAACGCCGCCCGCGGGCCACGCGCGGGGCTGTGGTCTCTGAGGCTGCGACGGGTCGGGGCGCGGGCGGCGGCCGCCGGGGTGGGACGCGGAGCCGCCGGGCCCGCAGTGCCCCGTGCGGTGCCACGGACCGGCACCGCGCTCAATGCCGCCTCTGTCCGCGCCCCGGGGCCGCCTGAAAGGGCATTGAGGGGCCGCGGGAGCGCCGCCCGGCCCTGCGGCATGGGCGCGGCCTGGACCGGGGGGTCCCCGGTGTCGCCTGAGCCGGGCAGGGTGTGTGGGGCACGCGGTGCGTCCCTGCGATGGGCACGGCGGGGCAGCGCAGCTTTGCCCGGGGGTGGATGGGACCGGGGCGGACCGGGGCGGCGGCGGCTGCCGCATCGCAGGGTTCCGGTCTTGGGGCAGGCTGTGTTTGTGGCTGTAGGCCCGGCTGTGCACCCCGCGCTGCACTTCCTGGTCAGGTGTCAGCATCCTGCTAGGGCGGGGCTGCCACGTGTCCCTGCTGTCCCCGCAGGAGCAGGGCACGCTCATCAGCACAGCTCCACACGCCGGAGGTGAGGGCTGTGCTGGTCATCACTGCATGCAGTGCTGGTACTCTTCTCCTCCGTGGTGAGGATGCTGCTGTGAGGATGCCCAGCACACAGCCTGGGGTTTGCTTTGGTCTGGGGTCGATGGGGAAGATGAGGGGCAGAACGTGACAGAAAGGGTCCTGCAGCAAAGCAGCCCTTTGAGGGCCACTGCTTCACCGTGAGGCCGTGCCTTGCTGTCATCCCCAAGCACAGCGCTGCGCTCCAGCTCTCACCTGCTCTTTCCTCGCTGCCAGGCTCTCCTCGCCCGCAGGCTGATGCCCGTGTCGCCCTGCCATGAGTCTATGAGCCCGCTGCGGATCAGCGTGGGTAGCCTGCCCGTCCTCGCGTCCATGACCAAAGGTGCCGACCCCCGCTTCCGCCTGCGCTGGAGGGCCATCGTGCTGTCCTCTGCCTGCGTGGGCTTCGTGCTGCTGCTCTTCTGCCTGCACCGCTCC